TTTATATATATATATATATATATATATGTAAATACATAAGACTTGTGCTGCAAGCCGTGGCCTGTTGGTTGGCGGGGTTCACTGTAAGTTCCCTCAGATCACGGGTTCGATCCCCAGTGGTGCTGGGTTCTCGAATATTTAGGCACATGGCGCGAGCTCTCATCATGGGCCCTAGTGCATGGGAAATCGGTATTTGGGCCTCTGCCAAATATCGATTTACTTTTAAAAAAAACATGTAAATACATAAGACTTGTGTGGTATGTATGTATATTTTCCCTTTTTTTTTTAAATCTATGTGCATTGATAAGAGGTACATAGGTAAGGGGAAACCAGTCCAATCCAAATAGTAATTGCAAAAAGCGCACTTTTGTATACAAAATTTACAGAACATTCCTTAACAGATGATTTGCTATTGCTTCAAAAATATTTTACATATGAGGAATAGTTTTGCATGAATAGAGAGGCAATCATGTCTCTGATACAATTCCTTCATCAATCACTGAGGACCTGTTACTTTATGCAGATTGCTTTTACCTTTGTTGTTTACCCATCATTGATTCTAGCTTATATGGGACAAGCTGCATATCTATCCCAACACCATATCATCGAAACTAATTATCGAATTGGATTCTACGTATCCGTTCCAGGTAATCGTTGTTCTCGATATAGTTTTCTCGATAAATGTTAATTAACAGTTATATAAATACATTTATTTTTCATTTTAGAGAAATTAAGGTGGCCTGTTCTGGGTATAGCCATACTTGCTGCTGTGGTAGGAAGCCAAGCTGTTATCACTGGTACCTTTTCAATAATTAAACAATGTTCTGCTTTGGGATGCTTTCCTAGAGTGAAGATAATACACACATCGCCCAAATTCATTGGCCAAGTATACATCCCGGATATCAACTGGATTTTGATGATATTATGTTTGGCCGTTACTATCGGTTTCAGAGACACGAAGCGCATGGGAAATGCCTCGGGTACCCATCACTGTGAAATCATTCCACGAAAATTTTCAAGAAACATTTACATACATACCTCACAGTTTTTATGTATTTACAGATCTAGCATCGAAAATTCAATTTTTACATGTATATCAGACCTTACATATGCATGAAAAGACGCATTTCACTTTTCAATGTTAAAATAGTGGTATGTATAAATGTTAAAAAACCAAGTTTAGGTGTTAGATACGTAAATACATAAGAACTAAGTTGTATGTATGTAAATTCCCCAATTTGAAATTCTCCGCCTTCTTTTGTAATTGTAGTATTGAAGTCTTCTTAGCATGTTATTTTAACATTCCATCAGGGCTGGCGATAATAACTGTCATGCTCGTCACCACCTGCCTGATGTCTCTAGTAATTGTTCTCTGCTGGCGGCGGAGCATTGCCTTTGCCTTATGCTTCATCTTCTTCTTCGGCTCGATCGAGGCCCTTTACTTCTCCGCTTCCCTTATTAAGTTTCTCGAGGGAGCTTGGGTGCCCATCATCCTCTCATTTGTGTTTATGATCATCATGTACGTGTGGCACTATGGTACCCTCAAGAAGTACGAGTTCGATCTCCAGAACAAGGTCTCGATCAATTGGCTCCTTCGGCTTGGGTCCACTCTCGGGCTTACGCGTGTTCGAGGCATCGGTCTTATTCATACCGAGCTAGTTTCTGGCATTCCGGCTATATTCTCACACTTTGTCACCAACCTCCCCGCATTCCATGAGGTAGGTCATGTTTACGTTGATATAAAGCACTTTGGTATTTTAAACATATGCATGAAAAATGTGTATGTCACTTTTAAAAAGTGGTAATAGAACTATTTTTTAATGTGATGTTAAAGATTTGAGTGTGATACGTGTGTAAATATGAAAGTTTAGGTGTGAGATATGTAAATACATAAGAATTATGTGCTATGTAAGTAAATACCCCTTGAATTTTAAGCATATGTACTTATGAGATAAGCAGAAACTTTATATAAAATGAAACTTTGTGCACATATTTGTTTGATATTGTTATGACAATTTTGTTTACATTGTTATGGTTGGTTGATATTATTGTCATATAGCCTTACTCGTTAAAATTGGAGATACTTAGTGCTTATGGATTTTTTTCTTCACCAATCCTTTATAGCCTGAATACATTCTTCTCCTCCATGCACCAGGTCGTCGTCTTCCTCTGCATCAAATCCGTGCCGGTCCCCCATGTTCAACCAGAAGAGAGGTTCTTGGTCGGCCGGATTGGCCCGAAAGAATACCACATCTACCGTTGCATTGCTCGCTATGGCTATCATGACATCCACAAAGATGACATCGAGTTCGAAAAGGACCTTATGTGCAGCATAGCCAGCTTCATCCAGTCCAGTACTTCGACTGAGCTCAACAGTCTCTTGGAAGAAGAATCTTCCAAGGAGGATGAGAAAATGACGGTGGTCGGAACCGGACATTGGCTTCATGAGGTTCAGGAGAAGAGAGGGGTGGATGAGAACGAGAACTCCGATGAACCATCAAAGCATCGAGAAATACAGTCGCCGATGATTGTGAGGAAGAAGGTGAGGTTTGTGCTGCCTGAGAGCCCGAAGATGGACTCGACGGTGCGAGATGAGCTTCGAGATTTGATGGAAGCGAGGGAGTCTGGCATGGCCTTCATCATGGCAAACTCTTGCATGAGGGCAAAGGGTGGTTCTAGTTTCATGAAGAAGCTTGCTCTTAATTTGTATGATTTCTTGAGGAGGAACTCTAGGGGGCCATCTTATGCTGTAAATATACCACATGCTTCCACCCTTGAGGTTGGAATGAGCTATGTTGTATGAATAGCTGTTAATTAGCGGCCATGGTTTTTAATCTTTTTTGTTTATTGATTTTTCTTACATTTTTTGTGTATAATTATCAGTTTTGGAAGCTTTTTTTCTTTTCTTTTTTTTGGTTGGCATTTTTTGGTGCTGCGTTTGAATTGAATCGTTTTAAGTTTCAGTTCCATAGGATTTAGAGCTGATGTTATTGGAAAGAGCTTATCTGTTTTAGACAATTTAGGTTTTCATTAATGTAAGAGGCAATTTTTTTTTAAAGATTTTTTAGCACTTTTATGGAGGGATCTGCAAATTCTGCCTTTTTGTTGTATAGAAAGTTGATCATGACAAGAAAAAATATTAAATCAGGACTCCGTATATAGAGTTACATGTAGAGTCGAATGAAATCACGCCACATAGACAAATAAAAAAATTATGACCGGAAACATAAATGAATATTTCTCTCGTGTTATTTAGGTGTTATTGTGTTATTCAGGTGTTATTATGTGTTATGCAAATATTAATGATATATTATTATGTTATTATAACACTGCAGAATACAATAACACCTGAATAACACAAAATAACATGAGGGAAATATTCCCTTGTATTACTGGGCCGATCATTTTCACGACGTAATTTCATTGGACTCCGCACGTAACTCTACGTGCGGAGTCCTGATGTAATATTTATTCTTGTTCTTCATGATAAAGTTATATTGTGCCATCGTTCGGACATATGTTGTTCTGAAGTAATATTTTCTCGTGAAGTTGCCCATTTGATTGATTAGGAATATAAAATATATTTTATAAAATTATTTTATGTTTGAGGGAATTTTAAGATAATTTGAGTATGAAACTGCGTTATGTTATGTCGATTCAGTGTTATCTACATGATTTTCTGGACGTACGATGTCTGGACGTGAACGTGATATTCTTCTAACTTATTGATATAATAATTTTTCAAACGGTATACAATGTAATATTTTTTTGATTGATTTGATTAGTTTTTATACAATCCTTTACTTAGCATGCAAGGACAAATATGCAATAAATATTTGTTTTGATAGTAGCCAAATTATCAATTTATTTAAACACCATCAAGCTTTATATTGATCCTTATAGAAGATCAATAATTTAAATGATGTTTTAAATTAATCTAGTTCAAGCGAGTACTTAATTAATTAATTAAGCCCGAGATCGAGTTTTAAGTCTATGAGTGTGAGCCGATTCACCCTCTGACTAGTTTATTATGAAAGCGAGAAAATAATTTTAATTTAAATTAGAGTTATAATTGATAAATTGCATGAATAATTAGAAGCTAAACAATAAGAGATAAATTGATATGAAATATAAACTATATATTTTTAATATTTTATTAAATTAAAGAAAAATATTAAATTTAATATATTTTGAGTATATTTAATATTAATATTTTTTTAATAAAAATACTGTTCGGCCATGAGGCTAATGAGTTGATCGAGTGCTAGCATAAGCTTCAATTATTAGCTCGTAGAGCTCAGCTCACGAGCCACTTATCGAGTTAAATTCGAGCCGGTGAGCTCAACTCACGAACCACTTGAGCCGAGTTAGAGCTGCCTCCTTGCATGGCTGCAGTTCAAAATAGATAATTAGTTTAATCACCTTCTAATTGGCATAATTAATTATGGTTGATGCTACACTGAATTCAAGCCAAGAAGGCCACGTGAAGTATTGATTATTGTTATTTTAGAAGGGATGTTTGGTATTAAAAGTGGTCATATCAAGTATTATATAGGCAGATGGGGCAGCTAGCATAGCCCTACTTTAAGGAATGATTGGAACTATTAAATATAATATTATTCTTCTTCATTAAGAAGATATATCCGAATCTATCTTGAATGAAGGCCAAGGATTTGATCTGATCTGTTGTGTGCTTATAAAGCCATAAAATAGATGCCAAAGTACTTAATAGAGAAACGAATTAAATCAAGGGAGAACAATAAAATAAATGGGTTATTAATGTGTTATTAATAAATTTTTATTGGCACTCATGTTCTCGATGTATTTTAAGCTAGAAATACTCAGAATTGAAATTCACGATTATTCAGATGCGGCCCGATTGCAATAAGTTTATAATCAAACTAAACGACGTCTTGACATGATAAACCGAATGATAATGTATGTGATCTGATTGACGTCGAAAGAAGACCAAATCAAATACATGAAGTATCGTTGAAGGCTGATACATCAAGTGGAATATAAAGTAATTTTAAAATTTGATATGTTTATATTCAAACCAAGTATTTTGATGAGAGGAATCCAACAAGCATAAGATCATCTAATTCTGAAGTTGCAAAGATAATTAAATGTTAAAAAAATATATTTCGTCTGATATAGTGTTTGGGAGATTGATCAATTTTACCAAAATGCCCCTCCCAAAAATCATAAATAAACCTTTATTTTTTTATTTATGAGAAGAATAGAAGAGAAGAATGAGCTGACGACTAAAACATAACTCTTGAAGTCTTGGCGATTGTCGCCGTCATCTGAGATCGTGGTCGTCTACTAGTCACCACTGACCACTAAAGGTTGTCATCGAGTACCCGTAGTTGTAGACCACCAGTTGTTGTCGACCACCACGAACTATGGTTTTAATATCCCTACTAAGACAGTTATAGCCTCTTATAATTATGACTTTTATAGTCACCTATAGATGCTATAGCCTCCAACAATGACTTTGCTAACTCTACTGCAGTTGTCATGACAATCAGCTTCAACTTAAATAGTAAGCTATAGTTTCTACAGTCGAATATAATTGTTGTAGTCCCTCCACGAGCATTATAATTAGACTATAGTATTATAGTTTTAACTACCCTTATATAGTTATATTTATTGGGTTATTTTAAAACATTTATGATGCGACGTAATATTATAATCCCGTCATCCCTAATCCAAGTGAAGAGTTGATATATGTTCTTCTAATTATATAGTTGATTATTTTAACTGGATCAGGCTGAATGATTTTTGACGTCTCTTTGCAAGACTTTCTTTTATCTATGTGTGTGATGAATCATTGTACATCACTACGATGTTAAATTATCACTCTAACGCTACAAATTTTCTAGCACACAACACATAAAAACCAAACAATTCTTATATATTTATATATCTAATATCTAATTTTTTTTATATTTGCATGCATACCGCTTAAAACATTTAATTTCATATAAAAATATGATTATCTCTACTTTTAAAAAGTGAAATATATCTTTTATTTATAATTTATAACACTAAAATGCTATAAAGATTAATATCCATTTAATTGTTAGGCATGTACATACATAAGAAGTTTGCTAAGATGATAAGAAAATAAGACTAGATGATTATGTTAGCAAATTAATTTAACAAAAAGACCTTGTCAAATTCTTTCACGGGCGAGGGGTGAATTGAGCTTATTTATAAACAAGCAATTCACACACACACACACATTCGGAGGAGAGTTTAGATTTTTACATGAGAATTCCCATGATGTTTTCTTCTTCATGTGCCGCAAATGACTATTAATCCTTTATTTATTGAAGATGTTGACATTATGTGATTATCTATACCAAAGAGTATATAAAATAAACTCATTATAACTATTATGTGCTAGGAAATACATATTAAAAAGAGTAATGATTTAACATTTTAGCATTGCACAAATATCCAGTACACGTACAAATCACCCAGAAAAATTAGAGGGGGAGACCCCATAATTTTTTACATGGAAAACCTAAGGGAAAAAATAACGGTGTCTAACCATATTAAAATTATTCACCATGTAACTAAAAGTACAAAATTGCATTCTTCATCTGAATTAGGGAAGATGAAATTACAATATTATGTTAAAATTGTATCTGTTTTGAAATAGCCTAATATATATGATTATATAAGGTAGTTGAGATGATAACTATTGTAGTCTAGCTATAATAGTTGTAGTGGGACTTTAAGAGTTGTGGTTTATAATAGAAGTCTTTGTTGATTATAGTAGCATCAGTTAATGCTTATAATAGTGATAGTAGAGCTATTAAAATCATAGTTGAAGGCTAAAACAATTGTGGTTGGTAGTAAAAATTATTAGAGGTGGTCAATGGCGACCTTTGGTAGCTGGCGATGATCTTTGGTGATCGGCGATAAACTTTGATGGTTGACAACAACTATGAGGACTTCAAAAGTTATGATTTAGTAGTTGGATCACTCTCTTCTTTTTTTTCTCCATCAACTCAGAAATGAAGATCTATTTATAGTTTTTTGAGAGAGGCATTTTGATAAATTTAGCTAGGATCTCAAAACACTTCATCAAACAGTCTTTATTGATTCATTCGATCATAAGTATTTTTAACATTTAAGTGTTGTAATAATCTCAAAATTAAATAATCTTGGGCTCATTGGATTTCTCACTTCGAGCCGCTCGATTTGATTATAAGCATGCCAAGTTTTAAGTTTTTAAGACATTCTATTAGATACAACAAAGCCTTCAATTACACATTAAGTGTTTGATTTAAGTTTAGTTGGCCTCAAATTGGATTTCTTTTCGCATCATTGAATTCGCTTTATCAAGATACTCAATTTGATTATAAATTTATTGCAATTAGCGCTTAAATGATCTTGATTTAAATTTGAAATGTTTTTAGCTCAAAATGCATTGAGATTCATGCTTGAAGATAAAAATTTATTCATGACACATCAATAACTAATCTAGTAGGTGAGTTAAGCTTGTGCCTTAAAAAGTATTATTTTGGAACTTCAAGAGAGTTCTAAATTGAGATAAGTATTGTTGAACTCAGATTTATCCTAGAATTGCACCCAAGGAATAAAACGTGAGCAATGATATAAAATAAGAATTCTATATGAGAAAAGAGATTCTTGAAGGTTTGACCATACTTCCTTAATAGAGTTAAGAGAAAAAGGTCCCTTTTTCTATTGTGTTTTTCCTCTTATTTATTTTAAATTATATCTTTGTGTATGTTGTGTACTAGAAAATTCTCAAAGACAAAGAAATCTTAAGGCTTAGCTCAGTGTAATTTCACAAAGAAATATTAAGGCTTAGCTCAGTGTAATTTCCCTACAACCACATTGATAGAAATC